CTATCAGAAGTTCGGTTTATTTGGGTTCCCGGGCATGCTGGAATTGAACTAAATGAAATTGCTGATTCGCTCGCTTCGGCATCTTTAAATTTCCCGGTGGTGCTAGTAGCTCCACAGTTTCCTTTTATTACTGCCGAACGATTCAAACGCCTGTTAATCTTGAAAATGAACGAAACGTCGCTTCTACAATCAGAAGAATTTCGGCATTTGCAATTCACAAGGAACACCGCAAAATGCCTTTCCCGTCAATGTGAGGTGACCCTCACAAGCCCTCGCTGTAGAGTTCCTCTGTTAAATTTTCATCTCAACAAATCAGGATTTTCATTAACTAACCTATGTGTAGTTTGCAATGAACCGAAAACAATAGATAACTTTCTTCTCACATGCCGCCGCTTGGCCTCACTGCACCGAATAATTCTTGAAAGACCGATTGGTATGCTCAGATTGCCAGTCAATACATCCACCGTATTATCGTTTGAAGCCAGTCAGTTGGGTGTGGGCCACAGTGCTATTCTGTCAGCGCTACGTAAATTCATTCAGCCAACCGGAAGGATACGCTTGCTTGCTTGCTTGTTCCTTTATTTTGTGGCTCTCACCCTCTAAGGGGGATTGGCCAAGAAGCCGGTGGTTAATGCAAGTAAATACCTATAGATTTTCTAGATTAGGGGAATATGAATACTGTGTTTTGACTGTGAAATTAATTTGGAAGGATATGCTGCTAGTGGTACTGCCAGATATATCCAATTCTTTCTCCTTCTTCCTCATTCTTGTTAATTTGTTTTATATATTCTGGTTTATTGCATTCTTCTGCAATTTTTTCACGTTTTTTCAAAGGAACATTATTATTGTTCCTATCTAATTTCTCTTTATCAGTTTTAGTAAGCGTTGTAAAAAATGATTTATTATGAGGTACAGTGTGGCCAATCCCCCATGTGGGTATGAGCCAAGATCTCCTAGGAGACAAGACAAGACAAGGTTCGCTTTCGCACTACTCATATTCATATGGTCTGTGGTTGGCGAGCACATGGACATGCGAGCTTGTGAGCTATGTTTTGATCGTGTGTGTGTGTCACAGATTTGCGTTTCCAATTATTCGTGATGAAGGTTAGTGTATATTTATCTATATGGAGCGTGAAGTAGTTGTGGATTTTGCTGCTGGGTGGAACAAACACATGGTAAACACGTCTTCAGCTATCTGCAAGCCTGTTCGCTCGTCGGACAAAGGACTGTGCATGCATCAGCGTGAAGGTGAGTGGCATTTCCAGCAACATTTCATGCTCTTACAATACATTGTTGAGTGGTTGCGCTATTAAAAGAGAAATGATTTGCTCTTTCTTATTTACCGTATCCATTGCTAGCCGTATCGGACTAAATTACCTCTATTTTTACCGCCTGCATACTCTCTTGCTTCCCCTGTCACCACTGCAGTGCCAGTGTACTTTTGCAGTTAAAAGTTCATTACCGCAACATTACCTCGCTTGAAAAAACTTTGGGGCGGGGTTGTAGCTGCCTTCATACTGGCACTTTTCTACCATTGGCTTTATGTAACGTTAACGGCTGATTGGGGCCTTGGGCCGAAGTTTTTAGAGCTGTAAAGTGTATGTAAATCAGTAAGTGAACAAATCATTGTCGCATCACTTCACTGGCATAGCCAGGCGGTTAGGCACAAAATTTTTTTAGGCCGGGCGTAGGGAGCCCATAATGACGACCATATTCGCTTGCCCGGCCTCCAATTCAGATAAGCGGACCCCCCTCGCACGCCTCAAAAAAAAAAAAAAAAATCTGCCCACATCACTGCGTCACTTGCTTCACCTCCGCGCTGAAGAAACTATTTTATAAGCGCACCATCAAGCGAGCAGTTTACATATGGACAGAACAATTGGAGGAGGAATGACCCAAATCTTTCAGATTTCTTTAGTGATGCAAAACCTTCGCAAAACTGATTATTGTAAAAGACAATCATAAATGCTGTATGTTCTCGTTAGCGTTGTCATTATTCTGCATCATGAAATCTTTATGCGCTGTGAAAACTTGGCATGCCGTTACAGTCACATATCGACGTTAATACCAATCGACGAAAATTTCGAAAACCTCAATAACGCCGTTTGGGATTTGCCGCATGCACATAATTAGGCTGATTCCCACTTGGCTGTTCTTAACCTGACTTCACTGCTACCAAATGAAACAATATTTGATGCATGTCTTTTACTACTTTTTTTCAGGGATATGACACAAATTTAGATATACTGCAGATAAAGGTGCTCCCAACGATGCTAAAGTACAGAAACCAAGTGAATTTTGGTAAGTGCAGACTTTTTGTACTACGTATATGAAAGCATCGCTTTTTAAGGGCCAACTGTGCATGTGTTGGCCAGAAAATAGTTCATCATGCCACATGGTTACACTGGCAATGACAATTTGACAT